TGAACTCAAAATTAATATGCAAACTTTTTTATCCTTTTTCTCCTTTTTTCCTATTTTCTTTAATTTTATTTTAATTTTTTGACGAGCTGGCCTATCGGCCTACCAACTCACCCTTAGAAAGGGCGAGAAAGAGTCTAGCTTGTTTTCATTTTGTATGTCGACCCAAACTGACTCGTTTTTGGCGAGCCAACAAGGGTTAAGTCTAAATGAGCCAAACTACACCATTTTGGTATCCCTAGTCTAACTTCTAAACCATAGAATGAACAAGTAAGATCAACAACATCTGTTAAAATCTTACAACAAAATAATTGATCATGAGTTTAAATACAATTGAAGAAAACATGTCAAATAAAAATTAACACTTTTAAGAGAGCTCTAATCTTTCAACAACTTAAATGTTTCAAACTAATTAAATTTACAATGAACATTTTACGATAAAGTATAACCAGATAACAAAGACCATCTTATATGTTACTAAAGTTTATATATCTTTATGATACAATATTCTCAATGTACTCTCTTGAGTAAATTTCATAAACATACTAAATAATAAATAGAAATCATTAAAAATAAAAGTCCCGATGCATATTATATTTTTTTATCTATAAAAATTAAACTTAATATTAAATTAATTATAATAATTCACGCATATATACAGTGCTCTACCAATTAAATGAAATACTTAAATTCTCTTTATAGAAGTGCATTATATAATTTTACCTAATACAAGAAAATATATTAAAAAAAATGCGTTCAACAAAACATAATATACAAATAGCGGAGGATAAGGATCAAATGAATTATAGAAGCTTTATTTATTATTTCTCATGACTCTTTGTCTTCCGATGCTCGTGAAACAATTTCTTTTAACATTTTTGTTTTTTAAAATTATTTGATGAAATCACATGTTATTTTCATGCAATAATCATATTAATGCAATCGGCATAGAGTTTTATCGAATAATATAAAAGAGTATTATAGAAACATATAGAAGCCTGTCTCTATAGCATTTCTTTGAATATTTATATATAAAATCATCCTATATAGTTGTCCATTTGTGCATGTTAGATAATAGTTCAGTCATAAAAAAAAAATTATATATCATTCTTTTAATTTATTATGCCGATTGATTCGTGCTACTAAAGGGTTGATGTAATAGAATACCTAGCCCCAGGTTGGCTTTAAAAGATTTTATAATTAAAAGTAATTACATTAAAAAAATATATATATGCAAGGGCAAGTTCTGAAAATAAAAAAATTTACATGATATAAACTTTTTATCAAAATCTATTGCTTTTAGTTTATAAGAAAATATTAAAGAGAGGTTTGATACACCAAAAATTGTTACTGTAAGAGAATTTGTAGTTAAAAATGTTTTTTTTTTCAAGATTATTTTGTTATTTAAAAAAAGACAAAAGCTAGCGTACATAACTCTATCAAATTATCACGGTATGCAAGTTTCATATTTATCGTTGGATTAACAAATTTAAGATCGGACGTGTGAAATTGAGAGCAGAGCAGCAAATATGACTAGTATGTTACACATGCTCATATATTATGAAATAAAAGAAACTTAAAATTTACAAATAGATATATTTTATGTGGAATATTTTTTTTTTCTTCTTCTCTCCTCATTTGTTTTAAAGTAAACTATATTATCCTCTCATAATGTATCATATTGTCTTTTGTTGTTATGTTAAAATATATAATATATATAATTTATTTAATTTAACGTTATTAACGTAAATTATATTTCTTTCTTTCAAGAGATGTAAGAGATGTAAGCACTATATTATTCTTTCTTTAATGAGTTAAAATACAAAGAAATTACACTTTTAGTCCTTAAAATTATATTAAAATATATCTCTTTTTATCATTATTATAAGATAAAATTTAGAAAGAAAATTATAATTTTTTTATGAAACACTTTATAATTTCTATTAAGCATTAATTTTATCCCCTTATTATTTATATTTATTTTAAAAAGAAATAGATACACTAAAAGTCTTTTTCTCTCTAATCTATAATTTATACCCATAATCTATAATAAAGATGAAGATAATACCATTTTTTGGTTTTCATTTTTTAAAGACATATTTATCTATCTACAATTATCTTTAATTGTTTTATTTTACAAAAAATTTAGACAATTTTCTTTAAATAAAATCATGTTAATGTGCAAATACAAAAAAATTAAATCGAATCAACTTTTTTTGTATTGGAACCGTTGATACGTGTATTAAGTATTAAAAATGTGTCTATTCTCTTTTATATTTATATTTTGTATTTTATTAAAATAAAATATATAGAGACAAATTGTTTTGATTTTACTAGTATAGATTTCGGAAGCATAACTTCTTTTTAATTTCTACTTTTTTATTTTTTACCACTAGCTACTTCTATATCTATTTTAAATAATTTAATATTCAAATACAAATTAGTGATCACTATTATGTAACTTCTACTGATAAAACTATAAAAATAAAAAATAAAGATAGTGAGTAATAAAATAGTTATAAAGAGAATAATGGTTTTAAAAAAAGTGAAAATAAAAAAATATACAATTAGTATAAATGAGAAAGAAAAAAAAGAGACATTATGCGTCTCTACATAAAATATATTTATACATGCATTTTAAATTTATTTTATTTCATAATCTGAGTATGTGTAACATACTAATTCTGTCCTCTACTCTCAATTTTGCATGTCCAATCTTGAATTGATTAATCCAACGGTAATTATGAAACTTAAGCACTGTGCGTGACATATAGAATTTCCAACGCAATAAGCCTCTTTCTTAAAAATAAAAATAAAAATAAAAAATACCATTCTTAAAATCATTGTTTTTAGGGTAGTAAAATGGGTCAGTTATGCGTAAAACGAAAACGCACTACCTGTCTTGTCTCACTTTGTATAAGGACAGATTGAGGGTCTGGCCGGTTAGTCTAAAGAAAAAAAAAATTAAATATATATATATATATATATATATATATATATATATAGGGGTTATATAAAGTTATTAAGCGGTGTAACACTTAGTAAAAGTTATACCGGTGTTATTATAACCCTCTCATATATATATATAAGAGGAGTTATAATTACACTTGTATAATTTTTACCAAGTATTACACTGCTTAATAATTCTATATTAATTGTGAATTTTGTAAATCCAACTGTTAGATTGAAAATTTATATCACTTTATACGTATATATCAAATTTTGTTAAAATTAAATAACAACTTAGTAGCAAGTTAGTGATCAATCTTCCCCAACCCATCATTTGGCCTAGCAGGTGAATAGGTTAGGCGGGACAAGCTAGTTAGACAATCGAGTTAAAATATCTTAGCCAAATTATTAATTTTTTTATGGATTAGTAGCTTGTTTTGTCACTCGTAATTATTTGAAAATGGCTTTTATAGTCATAAAAGTATCACATTACATTTATTTATAATTCTTGAATAATATTTATAAATATTTCTAGAAATATTTATATTTAATCAAACAAAAATTTTAATCTAATAAAAATTATGATTTCAAATTTATGATTTTCATAAATCCTAATTTTCGTACATGAAATTTATTTTTCTGTGCTAACGCCAAGGACGGAGCCAAGGGGGGACCTACGGGTGCCACGGCCCCCCCAACAATTTTAATTTTTTTTTATATACATATATATTACTATATGGCACCCCCTATTTTTAATATAAACTCATATGTATAATTAAATGAATAACCCAAATTTATTTTTTTATTCAACTTTTGGACTTCTGGTACGGCCTGCTATGTGGTATCACTTTGGAATTTTTTTTTTTTTAAAAAAATGTAGCGCCTCATTTGATCATTCCAATTCT